TTTTTTTCGCACTTTTTTCTTCCAAATGATTACGTAATTTTTCCTGATAATATTTTGATATTTCATATTTTAATTTATTCGAAATTGTTTGCAATAATTTTCCAACACCAAATATTTGAAAAAAAATTTCTAAAATTTTTTTCAATAATGGAAAATATTCCATTATTGCTAATGAAGGATTTGATGCTTGTTCCATAAAATCGACAACTAATTTTCGAAATATTGAATGTTCTTCTTGTACATCCGAATCATTCATATTGAATGCTAAACGACATATTACATCCATTGTTACTGAATGCATATGTTCAGTAATGTCTAATTCATTTACATTATTTTTCGATAATTTCTTTTCCATTGATTCGATCAATTTTTTTACGGATAAATTTATTGCCTGTCGTGTTGTTTCCATCGATATTCGATGTGCTGTAAATGCCGGTGTTAATATACGACGTGTAAATTTCCATGCTTTATCTATAAAAAGGGATTTTTTCTTTTAATAAAAAAAATTTGAATTCAAAATCAAAAAAAAATACCTCGTTGATTTAATAATGATGATCGAAATGGTTCCATTTCAACACCACTTATTAAACGATTTGGAAATTTTGAACCATTTTGTACCAATATTTCATATATAGCATTACGATTATTAATAACTAATATTGGACGATTACCATGAAAATAGCCAAAATATTCACCATATTCATTTGTCCATTTATTTAATGCTGCAAATGAATTTTGAAAGAATTCAGGTAGATTACCAAACCAAAATGATGGTTTTGGACCAGGTATTGATTGTTGTACGAAACAATTTAAACAATTCCATTTAAATTTTAACCATTTTAACAATGTTATTATTGAATAAATTATCATTGATAATAATGACCATTGTAGAATTAATGATGTTGTAAATATTGATAACATTTTGTTATTAATTATTTTTTCATACAAAATTTTTTTAACCAATTTGTATGCTACACTGTGCCAACTCTTTAAACTCTTCATTGAACGAGAAAACAAAAACAAAAAAAACAACGTTAGGAAAAAAATATTTGATAAGATTTGAAAAAGGAATCAATATTGATAACTAGCCAAAAAAACATGTGATAAAATAAAAGTCTTGTTGTGATAATTATAATTATCATCATATTTGATTGAGTTTACATTGAATTGAAATCTATCAACCGGTCTGTTGTCAAGGTTTTTTTCCAATAAAAAAAAAACAAGTTTTTTCTTTTTCGGCTGTATACGTGTTTTGTAAATTCTCTATTCTCTCACTATAAACGTGTAATTTCATTTTCAATTTTTTTACCGTTACAAAAATGATATAATGTTCTTTATGGTTGTACGATTAGAAAGATGTAATTACGAATTTAACAAAAAAAAATAATTTTATTTAATTATCATTTTTTTTTCTCATTTGAATTAACAAATTTTTGTTACACGAAGCCAGATATCTTTTTCTGGATGTATAATTACAGTTGGACAACGAAGTTTTATCAAACCTGTATTCGAATCGATTTTTGTAAATCGTTCCGAATTCGGATCATCAATCAAATCAAATTGATAATGTTTTAATAATGCAACAATAACAGCTCTGGATTCGGATAAAGCAAGATTACCACCAATACAATTACGTGGTCCACTACCGAATGCTTGAAATGCTGAATTTTTATTGACATTTGTATTGCCGGGTATTGGTAAATCATTACGATTTGGATCAAATTCATTTGGTCGTGGCCAATATTTTTCATTATGATGTACTTCCCATGTTGGTACCAAAATAGTCATATTTTTAGTAATATTAATATCTAAATTTTCCATATGATATTCATCGATACCGGTTTCTAATTGACGTGTTATAAATGAAATAACCGGTGGATAAAGACGTAATGATTCATACCAAATACGATCCAATAATTCTGAACGATATTGATCAAATTGACAATAATCATAATCATCATTAAAATTTTCTAAAATTTCTTTACGCAATTTTTCTTGCCAATCCGGATGTTTAGCTAGAAGATAAAGTGTAAATGATAAACCAGTAGCAGTTGTTTCATAACCAGCCAATAATATTACAACTGCATTACCGATCAATTGTAATTCATTTAGATTACCTAATTCTTGTTGTTCAATCATAAAATCTAAAATATTTATTTTACGATTATTTTTTTTCACACTTTTTTCTTCCAAATGATTACGTAATTTTTCCTGATAATATTTTGATATTTCATTATCTAATTTTTCTGAAATTGTTTGCAATAATTTTCCATTACCAAAAAAATAGAATAAAAAACGTAAAAATTTTTTTAATAATGGAAAATATTCAATTATACGTAATGTTGGATCGGATGATTGTTGCATAAAATCGACAACCATTTTACGAAATGATGAATGATCTTCATGTACATCTGTATCATTCATATTGAATGCTAAACGACATATTACATCTAATGTTACTGAATTCATATGTTGTGTAATGTTTAATAATAATTCATCGGAATTATTTTTTGATAATTTTTTTTCCATTGATTCGATCATACGTTTAACAGATAAATCGATTGCCTGTCTTGTTGTTTCCATTGACATTTTATGTGCTGTAAATGCCGGTGTTAATATACGACGTGCATGTTTCCATGCTTTATCTAATTATTTATAGAGAAAGGGGGAGTTTTGTTATGAATTTGTTTTAAATGGAAAAATTTTAAAAAAATACCTCGTTGATTTAATAATGATGATTGAAATGGTTCTAATTCAACATCACTTTTTTGACGATTTGGAAATTTTGAACCATTTTGAATCAATATTTCATATATAGCATCACGATCATTAATAACTAATATTGGACGATTACCAAAAAAATAACCAAAATAACTACCATATTTATTTGACCATTTATTTAATGTTACAAATGGATTTTGAATATATTCAGGTAGATTACCAAACCAAAATGATGGTTTTGGACCAGGTATTGATTGTCGTTCAAAACAATTTAAACAATTAAATTTAAATTGTAACCATTTTAATAATGATATTATTAAATAAATTATTAATGATAATAATGACCATTGTAGAATTAATGATGTTGAAAATATTGATAACATTTTAAAATTTCTTTCTTTTTTTTTGGGGACTGATTGATGAATTATTCAATCAGCTAGATTTTCTTTTTAAACAAAAAATTTTAGTTTGCTTTGTTCAATACACCATCTCATTATTGACTACAACTAAAACTAAATCAACAAGGTACAAATCAAACACACTGAGAAATGAAAGAAAAATATTTTTAAGATTAGATTATATGAATCAGAAAAATGAACTGACAAAAATTAAATTATTATCATCATTATGGTCGTCGGCGTTGTCAATGGAGAAATTTGAATAATCAGAAAAAATACTTTTTTTTTGTACCGAAGGTCGCGCCGGCGTACTTGCCGATTATTAATTTACAAATTATTATTAATGATCTGATATTAATTGATTATTTTTTTTTAATTTGAAAATTATCATTCTAATTGAATTATAATGTTGTTGTTGGAATAGTTGTAGTAATATTATCAAATACACCTAATGGATAGATGAGATCCATATTATGATGAGTTAGATGAAAATTTTTACTAATTTCATTATCATCATCAATATTAGGATTATTGTTGATTAATGTTGTCCATGATGGACTGGAATCATCATCGATAGCAAAATAAAAATTACCAAATAGCCATGTATTTAATAATAACATTGATATGGATATAGTTTTGGCAATAAAACCGGGTATAATCTTGAAATGAAAATGAAAAAAGAAGAAAAGAAAATTGAATTTGAAAATGAAAATGAGAATAAAAACAAACCATATCTTTGATTGATAATTTAGCATGATAAAATATCAATGTATTTGATGTTGTACCAACAGGTGATATAAATGCATATGAACAAGATGCTGTTAATGGTAATATAATTTTCAATGGATTTATATGAAGATTTTCCGATAATTTTATTGCTACAGGTATCATTATACTAGCTGTTGCTGATGTACGCATTACTTCAATAACCCAATTGGCTACAATAATAATGATTGCAATTAATGTTTGTAAAGGTAATATATTACCTAAATGTGATAATTGCGCACCGACCAATTTTGATAGACCCGATGACTATTGACATTTGTATTGATGATGATAATTGAAATTTCTTTTTTAAAAGAAAAAATTTCACAATCTTAACTTACCTCAACAGCATCGGCTAATGCAAATCCACCACCACGTATAATAAGTACACTCCATTCTAATTTTGTTTGCATTGTATGCCAATCTAATAATGCATCTTGTTGTAGATTTGGATTCCATTGTCCAAGATGATTTGGTATTAAAAATAATAATATTACACATAATATTGCTGCTGATGCTAATTTTGGTGTATGTTCAGGTGGAAATAATTGTGACCAACCAGGTAATGATGGTGGTTTATAAAATGTATATAATAATATCATTAAAATGAATACAAAAACAACGGCCCATTCATGGAATCTATTTTGGAATCAAATTGATAAATTGAAGACAAAAAAAACAAAAAACAAAATCCAGTAAAATACGAAATCTTACGTCATCGAACCAAGACGTTGATATTTTTCCATTATATGTTTACGTAAAAATGTTTGTCGTTTTGGTGATATTGTTATATCTCTGTAATTGAAACAAACAAAAGTGATTAAATTATTCTGTTATTTGAAAACATAAAACAAAACAAAACAAAAAACCTTAAATAAATTGCTGAAAATATTAACCAAACAGTTAGACAGATAATAATATTAACCGGTGTTGAATATAATAGATAGCTTGCATAATCAACTGGATCTTGATTATGATAATGACTTTGATCAAATGATGAATGAAAGATAAGTAAAAAAACAAAAATTAGATTTTCAAGAAAATTGCCGAAAATGATAATTTTTTTTCATCTTAGAAAAAAACTTTCCAGAAAAAAAATTCACTTACTTTTCAAGAATATCTTTCATTATTAGATTTGGTCCATTCGATGTAAGCGTACTGACACCACCAATTGTAGCCGAATATGCAATACAAAGATAGAATAATGTACTAATTTTATCCTTTTTTTTCATTAAATTTTTCAATTCTTTTTCATCTTCATCATCATAATCATCATCATTAACATTATTTGTAATTATTTTAATATTAAAACCATTATTATCATTTGATATTGAACGATTTTGTTGTTTATTATCATTATTGTCATCATCATCATTATTATTGATTGTAGTAAAAATATTACGTAAAATTTCATCCATTATTGGTAACATCATTGCAACAGTTGCAGTGGATACAATCCACATTGAAAAAAACATTGTTATCATCATAAAACCTAATAACATCCAATGAAATTTAGTTAATTGACAACAACTGGACAATACTTTTAATGCAATACGTTGATGAAAATTTGATTTTTCAATTGCTAATGCAATTGTTAAACATGCTAAAAATAACATATTGTTTGCACGTAAATATGAACTACAAGCAATATCGGTTGTTGCTAATCCTAATAATGGTAACATTACAATTGGTAACATTGATGTTATCGGTAATGGTATTGGATTTAATGACCATAATATTGCCATTATAATTATTAGATAAAGACATTTTGTTTCATTAGTTGATTGTTCATTTAAAACTAATATCGGTATACCGATTAATGGTGTTAATATTAATGATAAATTCGGTATAAATCGTATAAAACGATTTATACAATTATTTATTATTTTTTCTAATAACAATTTTAATGATAACATGATGATGTTATTCTATCTTTTGCTATTGCGCTGTTTTTGGATGTGAAGAATTTCGAAATTATGATGATGCCAAAAATCAAGATTACGACGATGATGATGGATAGAAAGAAAAGCACACACGCACACACACACACAAGAGAATTCAGTTGAAAAACATTTAAATTTTTGGTTTTTGTTTGAAAACAATTTTGATGATTAAAAAAACAACCCAAAAATTTACAAATGATGAATGATCCAAATGATTCGAATAGACAAAATCGTCGCCGCCGTCGTCGTTTTCTTGTTTCTACTTTTGTTCTACTTGTGTAGAAATAGTTTTTTGTTTCATTCGAAACATTTGTCAACAACAACAACAACGAAAAAAAAAACGTTCGAATCAGTCGTTGACGTTTTTGGACAAAGAATAATTTTCAGAAAATGATTTAAAATGAAATGAAATGAAAATCAGAAATCAAAATTTCAAATCAGAAATCATGAAATCGATGATAATAATGATGATGATGATAATGAAATTATCATTATGATGACGATATTTTTTTTTTGGGTAAAAGTTGCTAACAATTTTTAATCATCATTTTTTTCTTCTTCGATGATTTTATTTTATCGATTTTATTCGAAAATCATTGACGTTAACGTAAGCGATATACAAAAAAAGAAAATATTAAAATTTGTCACGAATTTCGTTGAAAGAATCGGATTTTTTTTGGCCATTTTTTGTTGAAATGGCGCAACACTGATATGTGCAACATTAACGTTGATTTTTTTCAAAACGAGCGTGATAATTCATTTTTTTTTCAATACCAAAAAAATAAACAAAATTGATTGATGAATTTCGATCAACAACGAAAAAACCTTTTTTTTTGATTAGACAATATTGATCGATTGATTGATTGATGGATGGATGATATAAGGATAGACACTGGATAGATATTCAATTTGTGCATCGGCACATTTGATATTTGATTTTGATTTTGGATTTTGTTACCATGGTATTGAATGAAATTAGTCTTTTCAATATCTGTCATTGTCATTTGAGAATTTTAGATATCTAATTCGTTTTTATTTAGACTTGTCGTTCGACTTTGATGATAACATTTCAATATTTTTTGTTTTTCATTTTCCTATTTTCATCGCTTTGACAATATCGAATATTCGAATATTCGAATCTATCGAACTATCGATAGTTATAGTATCGATTGTTTTTGTTTTTTTTTTTTTTTTTTGTTCATTTGAATTTTCCTGTTGGCGCGAAACATGATTTTATTTCAACTCTTTTTTTCCCCAAATACATGGTAAACAACAGCAACAAAAATTGATGATTATCATCAAAACTAGAAATTCTGATAAAACAAATTTATCAAACACGATGATGGCTAACAACGATTTATCGGATTGTTTATATTTACGAATTTTGAAAAAAATTCGGTTTTTTTTCATCTTTTTCACTGTCCAAATTCTAAAAATATTAATTTTGTCAATAATTTTCCATTGAAATCAACATCAATCGATAATCAATGATGAATGATCCAAGTTTATATTACGATCACTTTTTTCTGGTTATTTCACCCGAAAAAAAAATGTTTTTTTTTAGCCAGAGAAAATAAAATTTCGATTCCAAAGAATCAAATTTTTTATTTGAAATGTAAATTGTGCATGGGAATGATAATCATGATCCGAAAAAATTCAACAAATCAAAGAAAAAAAAGATGTACAAATCACGAGATGTACAATCATTGAATGTTAAAAAGAAAAAATGTTTGCTTTATCAAATAAAAATGCAAAAAATATGTATTTTTTTCTTGATTTGATTAAAACTTTTTTTTTTGTTATCAAAAATAACAAAAATAAAATTCATTATCATTACCATGTCGATGATATTCAATGATTTCTTTTTTATATCCAAAAATTATCATCATTATCATCCAATGTCATTGATCGAAATGATAAGAATTCGTTTTTTAATTTATTTACCTCACTTATCGTTTTTAGAAAATAAAAAAAAATTATTTAGAAAAACAATCAAGGACAAATACAATATTTGATTATCAATTTTAAATGAATATTTCTGGTTATGTTTGGATGCTGAATTTTTTTCGCTTTAAAAAATTGAATTAATTAATTTTTTTTCTAATTACAAAGTAGGATACACAAGAAAAAATGATGAATTCTATCGTTTTTTTTTCTTGAAATTCAATGAAAAATTACATCAAAAACGGTTTTGTTTTTTCGCGCCAAAAGGAATTTGAATTTTTGTTGATGTTGTTATGCAATTTTGATTCTTGTAGGCATTCTGGGTAGAAATCGGTGCTCAAATTCGTTCGATTTTTGTTGTTGTTGTTGTTTCCTGGAACGTTTTGAAGATAAAAATCGTGAATTTTTTCCATGGAAAAGAGTTTTGTATTTCAAAAAAAATGATTCTTGTCAAAATATCGATCATCGATTCATTAAAAATTCATCATTATCATTATCATCATCAAAACCATGACCAATGATCATGATGAATTTATCTTCTTATCACAACAATATTTGATGAATGAAGAAGAAGAAAAAACAAATTTTCAATATTAAATTTCTCTTTATCATTTTTCTTATCACAGAATTATTCTGTTTTCAATCTCCAAATATGTCCAAGAAATTATCAGCGAAACAAAAAAAAAATTTAAAGAATTTTTTTGTTTCTGATGAAAATTCAAACGAAACAAAATGCCAAACCTGATATACACATCAAACATCAGGCAACAAAGTGTAAATATTTGTCTTTTCATTTGTGTACTTTTTGGTACAGGTTGTAAAAGGAGTACATAATTAAAATCCTTTTACAAAACAAAAAAATTCCATTTTAAAATGTTTGAAAGATGATGATAATAACAGACTTAACATTCTATGCGGTATTTAAAAATTCGATTGGATTGATTGATTGATTGTGTGAAAAAATGAACGAAGAGAAAAAAACATAGCAAAGGAAACAAGAGATAGAGATGAAAACCTGTTTCCACAGTTTTTGTTTGTTTGTGTGACCATCATCATCGTATCGTTATCTTCTTCAACGTCTTCATCATCATCCTAACATTGATGACCATCATCATATTACTTTCTCCTTGTGTATTATAATATCGGTTACAAGCATCATTCAAATTAGTTGTTTACTTCTTCTTCGATTTTAAAGATGAATGAAAAAGAGAGAAATCATCATAGATTTCTGTGAATAAAAATGTGTGATAACCAAATTTCCCCAAATTATTATTATTATCGAATGTTTACCATTTCGGTACATTGCAGTTGTTGACCAAAGTATTCAACAAGTTTGGTAAGTTTTTTTTTGTTTTCTTCATTTCACACTATGCGAAAAATATCAAGATACCGATATATACAGTGAAATTAATAGCATCATTATCAATCGTTGATTTTTAAATTTTTTTGAAAATTCAAAAATTTGATTTGATAATTTTTGATGGAAACAAGTGAAAGACGAAGGACGAAGAAAAGTCACAGAGAGGTAAGGATTTTTTTTGTTCCACCACCAAAAAAACCACCTCATTTCTAGCATTTTTTTTACTGATAATAAGTCAAGAAAAACAAAAATCAAGTTATCTAAGTTTTGTTAAGAAAATTATCAGAAAAAAAACTACAGAAAAAAAAAGAGAATTGGCGAATGAAAGAAAGAGAAAGTTTGTTTGTATGTTTATGCAGATGGAAGATGGAGGATGGAGGTGGAGATGTAACACATTATACAACTTTCTTCGCCTCACAACCAACCTGGATCTCTCTCTCTCTCTCGCTCAAATCTTCTTCGTTGATGATTGGCGATTATCATCATTCAATATATAATCTGAAGACAGACAGATAGTGAATATATTTATTTGCATTCTCTCTATCTCGTTCATTTTCTTCAATAAATAAAGAGAGAAAGTTTCCAATTAAAATTTGTATTTTTTTTTGCGAAAAATTTTCCCTTCCATTTTTATTATTATTTATTATTCAAGATAGAAAAACTTTGAATGATAAAATTCATAACACAAACACGTTGCAACAACAACAACAACTAGATTTTTCTTCCCCATCGTCGTCGTAGTCGTCGATAATTATCATCGTCAGCATCGTCATTTTGAAGGAGAAAAAACAAAAATTTCCAAAAAAGAAAACCGTTCTTTTTTCAATTCGACGACGACGATAACAACAATTTATAACGCGTTTATCAACTATTCACTAGGCTTCATTTCAACTAAACCAAACTAACAAGCTGGATTTCTCTTTTTTTTGAAAAAAAAGTTTTCATTTTCATTTTTATTTCAGTTTTTCCCGTTACGAAAGTTTCCAGAAAAAAAAACAACGACAACAAGGAAATTTTCTAATTTTTCCCTACAAGATTTCAGAGCATCCCCAAGTGCTTTTTCTATCCACTTGTTAACTGTGTTGTTGTTTTCGTTTACCGTTTTATTTTCGGTAATTTTTTTTTTCGGTGATGTGAAATAAAAAGTGAAGAACAACAACAACAACAAAAAATGAAAATTCAAAACCGGAACAAAATTTCAACAAAATTTTTGTGATGTTCAACCAAAATATTTCGTAAATTTTATGGAAAATTTAAATTTTTTATTTTTTTCACTACTAAATTTATCGATTTTTTTCAAACAAAATTAAAACATTTTTGGTCAATGACCATTACAATCATCATCACATTTATATCCTGTATATCACACAGTGAAAAACAAAGATAAAATTCAGCATTTTCATTTTATCTTTCATCCAACAACAACAACAACAACAAATTTTTTTGAAAAAACAAAACGGAAATACTCTCAAATCAAGGAAAGATTTGGTTTCCTTTTATTTCTTGGTGTAATTAATTTTGATAAACAAAATACAAACAAAATGAGAAATGAACATCCGGATTATTCGGTGAATTAAAACAGAACTAATACCAAAAAATATCATTATCTAATCATCATCGTCGAATCATCTAAAGTGCCAAAATCACAAAAAAATTGAAAAAAAAGAAGCCAAAATTATCCTTGAATTGTTGTTTGTTGTCATTCTCAAATCCTCATCATCATCATCGCAATTTTGTTTGTTTGTTCAAAATAAATATTGTCGTTTGATCGGCTCACTCGCTCGCTCGCTCGCTCAAATCATTATCATTGGCATTCAAATTCATGGCCACGAATTTTCATTCATTCATTCATTCATTCATATTTTTCTACTTCTTTGATTTTGTTTTGTTCGTGTTGAATCAATTGAAATCAATTTAATTTCAATGTTAAACAGCATCCATCTTTTCTATATATGTGTGTTTCGAACGAATAATGAATTTTTAATTCGAATCCAAAAAAAAATAAAGTGAATCAAATATATCCCAAACCAAATAGATTTATTTGGTTTAACATTTTTTCTTGGTTTAAAGTATTGAAAATATCAGCAAAAGAAAAACGAAAAAAATCCACAAAATGAATCTAACAAAATTATCTTTGTTTATCATCAAATTGATGATCATTTCGATGATAATAATGGTCAATGGTAATCATCAATCATCATCAGCTTTACGAAGGATAAATCGATCAACAGATAATCTTTCGACAGAAACAACAATGTCATCGTCGACAATGTCATCATCAACAAATGATGATGATATTGAAATGGAAAAAAATTCACGTCCATCAAGACAAATACAAACATCGACGACAACAAATCCAACAACAATGGATTCTTCCGATGAATCTCATTCATCCTCATCATCATCAATGAAGCCTGAAGAATCTGGTGAAAATGATGAAAATAATAACGAAAATGAAGAAGAAGATGGCGATGATCCATGGGCCGATGTTGATGATGATGATGAAACAATATTAAAATCGGGAAAATTAAATATTGTTGATCAAATGAGACAGTTAAGAGAAGAAGGTCGTTATATACCATATGAAATAGAAACAGATCATATGAATGAAACAATAAAACGTGTTGTAGCTGCATATGAAATTATTGATCAATTTTATTTACCATCAAGAGAAACATGGGAAAAATTACTTGGTTTAGTTACCGGTTTAGATGTAACCGTTCAACCGGAATGTTTTGCATCATATTTTCAAGGTGTTAGCGGTTTTCGTGGCTATGAAACATGGGCATATCGATGTATGTTTAGTTTATTTGTTTGTTAATTGAATAATTAATTTGAGTTTTTTTTCAATATTGAAAATCAACAGTTTTGGATGTACGTGGAAGATTTCCCGAATCCGGTACATTACATGGAAAATTTTCTAGTTTTGGTGAATGGGATGAATGTTTTGAATTAGAATCACCACAAAATTCGGCAACAGGTTTAACAGTAAAATCACAATATTGTATGTTGGAAGTAAAAATCCCATATCCTGTTGTTAATAATATTGAAGAATTACGTCAAGTTGTTGATGTAAATCATCCATGGTTTATGAAAATGAAAAAATATCTTAGAAATTTTCGTCTACATAATTTATTTACACCATATAAATTGATTGAAATGTTACAAATGACTAATGGTACTATTTATCGTGCCGGTCTTTGTATACCACATCTTTGTAAACAATATGAAATTGAAAATCTTATACAAAATTGTAAGTGAAAAATTATTTTTCAAAAGTTTCTAAAACTTTGTTTTAATCCGTTCTTGATAAATACCCAACAGTAACTTATCCAATATTTCGTATGCCATTACAATTGGGACCAAAATGCTATAAGATTGATGATCCGGTAAAATTTAAACCACATCAACTTGTTGCTGCGTAAGTTTATTTTGAGAATTTCTTTTTTTATTTATTTTAAAAATTTTTCTCTTAAAAAAAACAAAATCATTGAAACACAGAACATTAATAACCGCATTGATTGCATTTGTCATATTATGTACAATCATTGAATTTTACAATATTAATTATGATCGTACAACAGCAAAAAATAATCTAAAATTGGGCAACGTTATGTTTCAACATGATTTGATTATGAAACCAAATCTATTTCTTTATTCATTTTCAATGATAACAAATAGCCGTAGTCTATTCAAACATTCACGATTCAGTTCATTAGATTCGATGAAATTTTTATTTATGATCTATATACATCTTTATAATTATTTTAATCTACAATCAACAATCGGTTATGTTTCATTGAAACGTATATTTACAACATATCCAGCATTATCAATGCGTAGTGATCGTTATACATGGTTTCGTACGACATTACCATTTGAACCGATATTTATAATCAGTGGTCTTGTTGTTGGTTTTAATATACATCAAAAATTGAAAGGATCATTCACAAAAAATAGTTATCTACTTTATGTTGCACGTTTATGGGCACAATTTGCAACAACATTTATTGGTTCAATGTTATTCATATATTTATTGCCGGTTATGAATCGTGCACCTGTTTGGGAAAATGGAATGTCATGGCTAGATGGTTGCCTTAATCCAAATATTATTCTTAATGGTTTATTATTCATTTCAAATTATAATGTACAAATGGGTTCGATGGGTGGACGTCATGCGCCAATACTACCTGTGGTAAGTTTTCTTTGCTATTCAGAAACCGGAGAACAAAAAATTGATTTGATTTTAATTTTTTTTTCGAAAAAAATCTTAGTGTAATCCACCAACATGGATGACATCAGCATTGATACAATTATTGGTTATTGCACCAATTATTGTCTATATTGCCTATCATTTAAGTAAACGTGGTGCATACATCTATTTTCTGTCAATCATAGTTATTGGTTTTCTATTGAATTTATTACCATTTGTTGTGTTTGGCATAAAACCGGATGTACATTTTCTTGAATTCGATACACTTTATGAAACAATTCAATCACATGCATGGTATCGTTATGGTACACAGGCATATATTGGCTGTTTTCTAATGGGAATTATGGCTGGCTATCTTCTAGTCGATTTTAAAATCTTATTACGATTTGAAATTGAAACAACTGTATTGGTTGTATCATTTATATTGATACAAATATCGATTGCTGTTAATAATGTATTCTGGCGATTAGATCGGCCACCATCATTGATATTATCATTAACATGGTATACATTGATACGTTTTCTTGGTTCAGTTGGTTTTACCGGTATATTCTTTTTGATTGCATCAAATCGTTGCAGTAAGTGTGATATTAGAAAACTTTCTAAACTAATGAAACTCAATTTAATACTTTTTATTATTATTATCGTTATTATTTAGGTCTATTCAATCGATTCCTAGAATGGACACCATTACGTTCAATGTCTCGTCTTGCTTATTCATATTTTATGGTTCATATATTGGTTGTTTTCTATCGTATTTTCTCAACAAAAGATGTTCAATCAATGACTGATTCAATGATGGTAAGAATTATTATGAAATTGTTCCATTCATTCATTCATTCATTAATTTTGTTTTGTTTTCTCTCAATATTTTAGCTACAAAATTTTATCATCGATGTTATGTTTACATTATTATTGGCCTATCTATTCTATTGTATGATTGAATGTCCATGTGTAAACATATTGAATTGGAGTCAAGGAAAAATATTCTATGATATTGAACATGTACAATCAAATGAAAAATTATCATCATTACAGGATAAAAAACAACATTCAACATCATCAATGATGATGATGGCAAATGGTGGTGGTGCTGGAAATCCATTACAAATGAATAATGTATCCACAGTAAATGATTCACTAGATCAATTAAATGTTTCATCACCAACATTGGTTGCAAATAATAATAATAATAATAATAATAATAACAATAATAATAATGGCTATACAAATAGTGCATATGTTAGTAATGGTGAATTATCATCAACACCACCGTTAAATGATCGGCCATCATCGACAACACCTCAACAACAAAAACCATCTATCATTATTACTGATCAATCAAAACCTAAAGAAGATGTTGAATGTTAAAAAAAAATTTTCGTTAAAAAAAAATGAAAATCATGAACATCAGTTCAATCAATAATCAATAGAATTTATATCAATCAAAATGAAATAGAATAGATAAAAATCATTAATTATAACAATGTAATTGTGATCGATTGTGAAACAAATCATAAACCAATAACCAAATATTTTTATTTTTTTAATATTCTGCTTTTGTTGAATTTACATCTCATTTTTTTTTGGAAAATATTTAATAATATTAATAATAATTTTTTGGAACAACATCAAAAAAAAACCTATTTTGACTTTTCGAACGTTTTTGTTATAACATTCGAAACTATTATGACAGTATTCGTGTCCTGTCGAATGTAGTTTTTTTTTCATTATCATCATTGGTACAAAGTGGAAATTAATGAATAACCGTTCCGGTTACAATTACCGATGATGATGATGATGTGTAATTATCATTTACAATTAAATAACAACGAAAAAAAGGTAATTTTTTCATTTTGTTATCATCATTATCATTATCGAAGTAAAGATCGTATTTCCTTTTTTTTTGTTTGTTTGTTTGTTTATTTATTCAGTTTCAATTTAAAACATACACAGGACTGGACTGTGTCTCTATAAAATGAAATTTTTCTTTGTTATTTTTTTTTGCGAATCAAACAAAATGAAACAAAATCGCAATTTCACATTTCAAAATGAGAGAAAAGAGAACACTGAATAATTGAATATTTGTTTTTTTCGTGAAACTTTTTTTCTTTCTTTCGAAACAAAATGAAATTCTTTTTTCTTTCGAATAATTTTTCATTTGTTTGGCTCAATAGAATTTTCATCATCAACATCAACAAAAAAAAAAAAAATTTAATTGATCAATCTTGCTTCAAGAATCAATCAATAAATCATATATCGATCATATAGATTTTATAATCAATGTTAATGAACAACAACAACGACAAAATGAAAAAAGTTTTTCTATTCGGATTGAATGATATCATTTTTCATTTTATACATTCACACATACACACCATTATATAACACCAAACATTCAATTCACCCGCTACAAAACAACAAGAAACAAGAATAAAGTAATATGAAACTATTTCTCTCTCTCCGACACTTCAATTCTGGTAAAGAATCTAAGAAAATGAAACTTGAACAAAAAAAAAACATGACTAAAAACCTAGTTGATGTAAATTATTGTTGTTCATTTTTTCTTCTCATTCTTTTCAAAATTCTTTTCAACACATTGTGAAATTTCTTTTCTTTATATTCTTTTATTCTTGATTTATTCTGGACATTTGCATAAACATTGTTGTTGTTGTTGTTGTTTATATAGAATATTCTTTATAGAATTCAGAATGAATAGTTTACCAAACACACACACACACACACACTTGACTTGATTATTATGGATCACATTTTTCATTCTGTAAATGTTTGGTGTTAGTGATGGTGGTGATGGTGGTGGTCAATGAATGTTACAATGAATACTGCAGTGTTTAAGATCAGTTTCTGAATATTTTTTTTTTCATTGTTCAACAACAATAAATTATGTTTAAAGCCGGGTACAAAAAAAAAGAGGGATGTTGAAAATATTTTTATTTAAATTTTCATTGAAAAATTGCAACAACAACAACAACCACCAGAAAAAAAACTATGATTTACAGATGTTTTTTTTTCGAAAAGAAAAATGATTACAGAGAAAAAAAAATTATTGATCCACAACCATCACCATGATGGACCAAGATGATGATAATGATGATGATGACAGATGAGTTTATTATGATCGTTAGTGTTTTGGGGTTTTTTTGCTTCACATTTAATTCTGTGGGTGTTTATGGTTTTTGATTCTTTAACAACAACAAAAAAAAAAGATTTCATTACATTTTGTTTCGAGTTTTTTTTTGCTGTAGATCAGATGAAAAGAAATGTCAAAACTTTTTTTTTGTTTTGTTTTCAAATGATAATCTATGATGATGACGCAATACAATATGTAACAATTATTATTATTATTATTATCATCGTCATTATAACAACAACAACATCATTAATTCCATCAACCCACCATTGAAATGTCAAGAATATCATCATCATCATCATCATCTTCGACATTAGACAGAATAACTTTGAAAATTCTATATAATATTAGAATATTTTGGTTTTCAGAATATGAAAATAGATAAAAAAGAAAAAGGATATCTAAATTTTATATACAAATATAGGGTAAATTTAATCATTTGATGTTGTTGATCATTTTCAAAACAACAACAACAAACAAAAAAAATTAAATATCCGTTGTTTCAATCATAAATGCATGATTTAAATAATTATGAGTTATTGTTGATTGATCGGGATATTGTTGTTGTTGTGGTATCCGGACAATTGAATGACATGGATGCTGTATCTGTTGTTGTTGTTGTTGATTCGAATTATTATTGTTAATAACATTCGAATCGAATGCTGGTGATTCGAAAATATTTAACGATCTTGTATTGCCATCTGTTGTCGATTCATTTAATGCTGATGATTGATTAGGATTATTATTGATGAATGTTAATCTTGATTCTTTTGATCGATGATTATTATCTGAATGATGATGATTATTATTATTATTTCCGAATTGAAAAAATCGATCAAATATTGATGGCCGAAATGGTGATGATGATGCTGATTGTGATGAATTTTGTCTTGAATATTTTGAATTCCATACAAATGATGATGATCGCATTTCATCATCATCATCATCATCATCGTCATCATCTTTATTATCAACATCATCAAGAATATTCTTTTGTGATGATTGTTGTTGTCGTTGTCGATGATGAATATGTCGTTGACGACGACGATGATTATTATTATGATAATATCGATGACGATAACATTTTTGATAAAAAAACCATATAGCAATTATGATAAACAAAATAATCCAGATGAATAAATTTATCGATAATAAATGTATTAATCGATGTATATCATTACTATTGATTGATGTATCAATTTGATGGTGATGATGATCATCATCATTTTGATTTGTTAGAAAATTAAAAATTGTATCATTTTCATTGGAAAAATCTTGATTATGATTATTACGTTCACAAACAACAAGAAATACTTTTGAACATTCAACATCATACCAATGGCCAAATAATAATTTAGATTTTTCCGAACTCATTACAACACAATAATGTTTTGAATCAAGATTATTTGGTTCATTTGGTGCCCAATTTGTATATGATGACCATTGATCATGATGATTATCATTATCATCAACTATTGTCTTGACGGTTGATTGATTATCATTTAATCGATATAATGGATGACGATTATAAAGCCAAAGAAAATTTGTAACATTTATACGTATTAAACCAAGCCATATTGAAAATTTTAATTGTAATTTTTCAAATAAATATGTTTGAAGAAATTTATTCTCATCGATTGATTCAATTTGTAAAAGATGTGCATGATGATAACGTTCACAGATATTGATTGCTTCATGAAAACTTGCTCCACTTAAATCATGATGAAATAGATAGCATTTATTTTTGAATTGAAACCAATTTTCACCACCGCATGAATCATTTGAATTTTGTTTCATCAACATTCTTGCATTACGTTGATGATCGATTTCAGTTTCAGTAAAAATTAATTCTTCACCATCACCATCATCATCATCATCATTATCATTGGTTGGCAATGATGATGTTTTTTTCATTATTATCAAATCAAATTCAATGATAATCATAATTAACATTAATATTACTAAATTTAGACGCTTCATTATTATCGATTTATTATTTATAATTCGACGATTCGAAAGAAATGCATAAAAAAAAACATTATTTAAAATTGAAATCGGCTTATTCGATATCATTTGAATGACGATGTCATTTCCTGACAGTTATTTTTCTTTTCATTTCGTTGTTGTTCAATTTCGAATGAATTTATCAACAAAAATTTGATACGAAACGAATTGAACGGAAATATGTTTTTGTTGTTACAAAAATAACGGATTCGACGAACAACAACAACAAAAAAGAATTTAACATTTTTGTTAATGATCTTGTCACATTTCCTTTCTCATTCACTCTTTGCTTTTTACAAAAAAAAATATCGATTGTTATCGAATCATCGATATGTAAAAAAAAAATTATTAGTATCGATTGTTGTTGTTGTTGAGAAACCGGATTTTGTTTTGATGAAAAAATTCTTTATTTATTTATTCAAAAAATCATTTTTCCTTGATTAAATCTAATTCTTGTTTTATCGAAAGAAAAATACAAAAAAAACAATCATTGATGCTCATATGGTATGTATAAAAAAAAAATTTCCATCATCAATCTTTCCAACAGTACATTTTTGTTTTTGTTATTTTCATACCCTTTTTTTAAAAATTTTATCTCTATATTCATTTTACTCTAGAAATCTAAATTTCTTTAGCCTGAATACGAAAAAACAAAATGCCAAATGTAATTTTTCTTCAAAATTCAAAATGATTCGATAACGAACAAACAAACAAACAAAATTGGCTTCTGGAACAATCGCCGAAATAATAATGTGAGATAAACGAATGGAAAATTTTACGAAATTGAAGAAAAACAAATGATAAAATTATTATCTTTCACAATCAGCAAAAAAACAAAAACAAAAACAGGAATGAAAGAAAAACAACGTTCAAATGTTAAAGATGGACGAAGAAAAAGGAAAGTAAATAACACTGTTATAATGACATTCGACATTACAAAAAAGAAGAAAATGATGCCAAATTGATCGTAATCAAATAGCCATCAATCAATCAATGGCTGGTTTGATAAGATTGATTTTGGAATTTTTTTTTTTAATTTCCCGACCACTTGATGGCATTTTAAAATAATTTTTTTTCCTGTTTCCAACAACAAAAAACAAAACAAAATCTTCCGATAAATAAGTGATCATTTTATTTGTGGTATACGTGATATCTTGAATTGTCAATGAAAAAAATGATAAGAAAATGTCATCATCCATTGACACAAACACATCATCATCATCGTGTGAATTATCACCCATCGGTGATGATGATGATGATGATGGTAAGACATGTGACACCCAATAAATATTGATTTTTTATCTTTAATGTACCATTTAGGTGTTTGTGGTGTGTGTCTGGTGTATAAATAGAATCGAATAATTTTTTTTCATTCATCATTATCTTCAAATTATTTGATCCAATTATTTATTTATTTTTTTCGAAAAAAAGAAAATTATTTTAAAATTTGGATTTATGCAAAAAAGAAAATGCGATTTGTTAATGAATGTACGAATGATTCCAATAGATATAACGTAATCATTATTGGTGCTGGCCTAAGTGGTATGTGTAAATTATTTTTTTCTCTAATTAAATTTTCGATTAATTGATTGATTGATTGATTGATAGGCCTTTATGCAGCCAATATTCTGAATGATTATGGTATCACCGATTATTGTGTGCTTGAAGCACGTGATCGAATTGGTGGACGTTTATTAACGAAACAGGATGAAAAAGTTGGCTGGGTTGATCTTGGTGGATCATATGTTGGACCAAGTCAACATTATATACAGAAATTGATTAAAAAACTTGATATTAAAACATATAAGATTGATGTTCAAGGTAAAAGTGTCTATATGAATCAGGTAAACAAAATTGTTTATTAGAATTATTAGAACAAATTTGTCAACACAAACATTTTGTTGATTAAAATAGAAACAACGTTATTTACATAATGGTAATGAATTACCATCATTGTCAAATAAATCGATTGAATTGGAAATTCGTTATGTATTAAAATTAATGGATGAAATGAGTGAACAATTACCACGTGATGAACCATGGAAATATTCGAAAGCAATTGAATGGGATCGACAAACATTGGGACAATTTTTAGATAAACATTGTTGGTCACAAGAAGCTAAAGATTTTATATCAATCTATATTGGTTGTTGTACATCATGTGAATCATATGAACAATCATTATTATGGGCATTATGGTATATACGACAATGTGATGGATTGGATACAATGTATAATGTTGAAAATGCTGCACAAGATTCAAAAATTGTTGGCGGTACACAACAAATATGTCAACGACTTTTGCAGCTAATCGGTGATGATAAATTAAAATTATCCAAACCAGTCGTACAGATTATTGTTGAAAATGAACAACATCAATCAAAACCATCATTGATACAAATTAAAACAATGGATGGTGAATGTTTACAATGTAATTATGTAATAATGGCTATACCACCTGTTTTAGTACAGAAAATTCATTTTCAACCATCATTACCACCGATTTATAATCAAATGTTACAAAAATTTACAATGGGATCAGCAATTAAATGTATTGTTTATTATAAGGAACAATTTTGGCGTAATAATCAACAGCCATCATTAAATGGTAATATGTTGATTAATTGTCCACAGTCATATGATGGACCAATCACATATACGGTTGATGATACTAAACCGGATGGTAGCTATCCAGCTATTGTTGGGTATGTTTGTCCTTTTTCATTTAATTTGGTTCCTTTTTTTGAAATTGAATTAATCATCATCATTATTATTATCATTTTAGATTTATCATTGGTGATCGTGCCCGTGATATGCTTCAGTTAAGCCGTGAAGAACGATTAAATTATATTTGTCAAAGTTATTCACGTGCATTTAATTCAACAAAAGCATTACAACCGATACATTATGAGGAAAAAAATTGGATGGCTGAACAATATACGGGTGGTTGTTTTACCGGTATAGGTGGGCCAGGTTTTTTAACCAATTATGGTCCATTATTAAAACAACCATTATTTGATTGTATATTTCCGGCCGGTACTGAAACATCAACACATTGGGCCGGTTTTATGGATGGTGCATTACAATCGGGTGAACGTGCTGCATTGGAAATTTTATCACGATTAAATTCATCGATTAATATTCAGGTATATTGAAAATAGATTTTTCAAAGTAAAACTCATAACCAAATATTTTCGTCCAAATTATAGAAACCAGTTGTATGTTTGAAACAACAAGAATTCAACAAAAATAATTACAATGAAACAAATTCAAATTCAAATCGAATGAAAGTGGATTATTATGTAAATCGATTCGTAAATTTTTCACTATCAATCAATCAATTGATCACATGGTCAGTTGTTGCATTTTTTGGCATCTTTTTTGGAATGACAATATTTTAATTATTTAGTCAGTGATGATGATGTTGATTGACGTGAATAACAATTTTTTTTTCGTTGATATTCAAAATTGTTTTTTACAAATTAATTATCTATCATGATAATGATAATTAATTTACCAACAAAATAAATAAAGAAAAAAAATTTCCTAAAATATTTACCGAATAAACAAAAACAAAACAAATATATTATCAATTTTTGTTTTTTTTTGTTTTTTGATAAATAGAAAAATAAAAATCGATACCTTCTTCATCAATATCTTATCATCATTATCATCAATAATGATTGATTAATCGCATGCGTTTCTATTAATTTTGTTTTTTTGAATTATTGTCATTTGTTTGACCTTTTTTTTTTGCATATTTATAAACATCACAAACAGAAGAGTGAAAAAAACCATATTTGGATTCGTTTGTCATTTTCGTATTTCGTTTGTCATTATTTTCAACGAGCAAATTTTCATTAAAAATGTCCAATAATAAAATCTATGATGTTATTGTAATTGGTGGTGGTATCAGTGGTATGTTGTTATTGTTGTTTTATTTTTGAAATTATTTTGTAAAAAAATTTTTTAATTTTTTTTGTAAAAAAAGGTCTTAGCGCAGCTAAATTACTTAGCACCAAATATAAGGATTTAGATGTTGCCGTACTTGAAGCACGTGATCGTTTAGGTGGCCGTACATTTACCGTACAGAATCCGAATGTTAAATGGGTCGATCTTGGCGGTGCATATGTTGGTCGTGGTCAAAATCATTTATTACGAATGATTAAAGAATATAATTTAAAATTATATAATGTTAATGAAGTGGAAAATCTTGTGTTTTATAATCAAAAAGTAAATTTTTTTGTTGTTGTTTTCAATTCATTATCAACAAATTAACCAATTCAATTCGTTTCACTCTATCCGACTAACAGAAAAATCAACGATATTTATTTCGTTTTGATGAAATACCAAATATGGGTTTATTGGCACGATTAGATTTTTATTATATAATGAGATTAATGGATGAAATGGGCGAACAGATACCTGCTGATGAACCATGGAAATCAAAAAATGCTGAACAATGGGATCAAATGACATTCAAAGAATTTATTGAAAAAAATGTTTGGTCAAAAGATATACAAAATTTTATGCGTATTTTTATTTGTACATGTGTTACAAATGAAATGTATGAATCATCATTATTATGGTTTCTTTGGTATATAAAACAATGTGGTGGTACTAGATCAATATTTTCAACAACATATGGTGGACAAGAATTTAAAGTTCATGGTGGTACAAATCAGATTTCCGATTGTATGGCTAAAAGTATTGGTCTTGATCGTGTTCATCTTGAACAACCGGTACATTATCTGGAACAACGTGCTGATCATGTTCTACTAAGAACAGTTGCTGGTCATGAATTTCGTGCACGTTATATTATAATGGCAATAGCACCAATATTACAACAAAAAATTCATTATCAACCATCATTACCACCGATGCGTAATCAATTAATACAACGTGCACCAATGGGTTCAGTACTAAAATGTATTGTTTATTATCGTAAACGTTTCTGGGTTGATCATAATATGTGTGGAAGTTTAGTTATTTTTGGTGAAAATGATATTGAATGTCCAATAACATATACATTGGATGATTCAAAACCAGATGGAACAAATCCAGCAATTATTGGATTTATGCCAGCTGATCGTGCAAGAAAATTACTTGAATTAACTAAAGAAGAACGTTTAAATTTGATTTGTAAATGTTATGCTAAAGGATTTGATTGTGATGATGCACTTGAACCAGTTCATTATGAAGAACAAAATTGGATGGCCGAACAATATTCTGGTGGTTGTTATACAATGGTATGTGCACCTGGATTTCTAACCCGTTATGGACCATATCTACGTCGACCGATTGGTCGTATTTATTTTGCCGGTACCGAAACAGGATGGGATTGGTCAGGCTATATGAACGGTGCTATACAATCGGGTGAACGTGCTGCACGTGAAATTCTTGCCGATATGGGACGAATATCACCATTAGAAATTGATATACCTGAACCTGTATCAAAAGAATATCCACCGGTAATTATTCCATCTACATGGATTGAACGTAATGGACCATCAGCACGTTCATTTATAACCGGTGCTTCATTAACAACAATTGCCACTACAATGTTTATCGTTTATTTTGGTTGGAAACGATGGGAATTTTATCGTTATTGGAATCAATATATATCGGCGTATATTATTGAATTTTAAAATATTTAAAAATTTTATTTCAATGAAAAAAAAGAAGATTTTTTTCTTTGTCTGATTGTTTTTTGTGTGTTTTGTTTTGTTTGTTTGTTAAAGAGATTAATTGAACAAAAATAATTAGAAAAAATGAAGATGAAATAAAAACATATTATAAATTTAAAGAAATAATTCTTCAGGCAGTTCATTACGATATGGATAACTATCCTGTGTACCAAGTTTTGTTACAGCTATTGATGCTATTCTATTACAACGTTTTATTGTTTCTTCGATTGTTAGATTAGGAAAATGTACCAAATAGAATGCTAAAGAACCCATAAATGAATCACCAGCTCCCTGTTCAAATAAAGAAAACATTATCAATTAGAAGGAATGTATGGTTAATAAAAAAACAACAACATACAGTTGTATCCAATGGTTGTATTTTATTCGGTACTGGTATATGTATAGCTTGATGTCGATTAACATAAAGTGCACCATTACTACCCATTGTTAATATAACCGAACCACAACCTTTATCCAATATCATTTTACATGCAATACGACAATCATCAATAGTATCGACACGTAATTTTGTCATTAATTTTGCTTCCGATTCATTAACACATAATATATCACATAATGGAAAAATATGACTATTTTCCATTGGTTTTGGAAATGATGGTGCACCATTTATCAATGTGGGAACTATGAAAATTTGAAGAAAAAAAAATTTTTGAATTAATAACAATGAAATTCAATAAATGTAAAATAAACTTAAATTACCTTTATGTTTACGTGCCAATAATAATGCGGTATGAAGTGATTCAGGTATACATTCAAATGTACTAACAAATAAACGACAATTTTTAAATAATAAATCACTTAATTTATTAATTTCATCAGGTGTTAATAGATCAGTTGGACCAGGTACATAAACAATATTACATTCAGCTTTACGTGTTACAGTTATTGATGCTGTACCGGTCATTTGATCTGGACATCTTAATATAAATTCTGTTGAAATATTTTGTTGTTTAAAATTTTCAATCATTTGATCACCAAATAAATCGTTGCCAATCTAAAGAATTTCAACAAACGAAAAGAATCCTTTAAACGAAAGTTTACCAAATAATCATTCAACTTACTTTACATAACATACGACAATCTAAACCTAAACGTGCAGCCATTACACAAGCATTTGCAGCTTTACCACCAAAACCTTTACGAAAATTATTTCCAACAATTGTTTCACCTGGTTCAGGAAATCGATCAACATATGAAATAAGATCCATAACCGAAGCACCCATAAATGAACAAACACGTGGATTTTCGTCAATTTCCATATTTTATTTTTTATTGTTGTTGTTGTTGCGGATCTGATTCGATGAAATTCAATCGGAAGCAGATTTTACAATGATGTTTAAAACAGGACGATGAATAATTTCACAACAAAATTGAAAAATTCTATACAAAATAAAACTTTGTAAATTAAATGATGAAAACAAACTAAGAAAATTCAAACAAAATCAATTATCAATTGCACATCACCAACAACAACAACAACAACAAAATTCTTCTCCATATATTGTTTATGGTTAAAACATCAATTTGAAACTGAAAAAAACACACAATCAACCAAATAGGAAAAATAAAAACATCCAACCAACCAACTAACTAACGAAAAATATCGATAATTTTTTATGATTAGATATTACTCTCTCACTTCTTTTTGTTTTCCTTTTTCTGTTTTCTTCATCGAATCAATCATTTCATCGAATGATTGATTGATTGATTGAAATTATTTGATCATAATCATCATCATCACACACAAACATGATACATGTTTGATCGGGATTTTGCCAAGTACAATAATAATATTCATCTTGAATATTTTTTTCTGCTAAAAGGAAATCACATCATCAGAAAAAAAACACACACAGGCTAAGTACACACCATAAACAAATCTTATCAATTTTTGTTTCATTTTTTTACTTCAAAATTGATGAAATAAACAACGATAACGTTGATGATGATGATGATGGCCGATAATCGTTGTTTCGAAGATTGATTTTTTGTTTTTGTCAAAACTAATAAATTCTTGACATCACGATGATGATCATCATCATCAATAAACTTGATTCTCAAAAAAGATATCTGTCATACGATATTTATGAATAGTTCATAAATCATTTATTGATTACAAAACAGGATATGCTCGCGAACATTCGAAAAGTGAGAGGGATGAAAAAAAAGTGAAATTTTAAAATTGAAACAAACAAAAAAACAGATCATTTTAACCATATCATATCATTATCATATTGAATTTCTGATTATTTTTATGACCTTGTACGAAGGCATCATCATCATCATCGTCGGCTTAAGAAAAAAGACAATTTTGTTTTGTCCTTAGTTGGTTTTTTAAAAAAAAACAGTTATCTTATCAACAAAAAATCTGAAAATTGATTAATTTTTTCTGGAAAAAAATGATTTTTTTTAATTTATCAAAAATTATGGCATTCTCCATCAACTCTCAACCATCAAAGCCAAAGTAACAACAAAGAAACAACCACCACTCATATCACCAACAAACACAGAAAAATAAAAATCGATTGATTGATTTATAATTGGGAAATTTACTGGGGGAGGGAAACAAAAACTTGATCGAATGATCGAACGATCGATGATGAACAGGAAAAAAAGGGTTGAAATTTGATTGAATGACCGTTTGAAGACAAAATGATGCAAAAAAAAAATTAACAAATTACTTTCTGAAACGATGTGTGTTTATTCATCACAATAACAACAACCAAAAAAAAGAAAAATCTAGAGGATGAACAGCAACCAAAAACTATTTGATTATCTCTCGATTATTTGATATCAATCAAAAACAAAGGCAAAAAAGAAAAGAAAAAAATACCAGGCAATCACCGACATTGATTAATGATGATATGGTTGATGATGATGATAATGACAGCAGCGGGAAAAAAATGACTTGACTGTTGAATATGACACCACCACAACACAAAAACACAACAACAAAAACTACCAGGGAGATACTTTGATGATAATTAAATTTGGCGAATCACACAATCTTTATCTTAAAAGTTGTGATTAAGATTTTTGAGTCTTTGTATATTCAACAGAAGAAAAAAAAAAATACTAATCATTCGATCGATTATTATCAACAATCATAAATTTACCATGGTTTTACGAATCGCAATGTGTTTAATTTGATCGGTTGTCATTGGTAATAATCCTGGGTAACCAGAAAAAAAAACTTATCAGTTTTCAAAATTTACATAGAAGTATTCTTCATTAATTAAGGAAACTTTTTTTCAAACAAAAAAAATACACCATTATTCAGAAACAAGATTTTTTTTTATTCAATCAACAACAACAACAAAAAAATCAACCTTTTTACATCGTTTTACCTGGAATTTAAATTGTTGTCATGACAAAAACAAATGATAATGATGATTTCTTTTTTTAGTTTCAAATTACACAATGAAATATTTTCAACAAAAAAAACAACAAATATTAAACAATGTTTTTTTTTGTTGTTGAAATGTGAATTGATGTACACATTAATTTCAATATCGAATTGCTGTTGTTTATAAGGGTAAGTTAGTTAATAATAAATGATAACACCGTTTGTTTCTTTCTCGTTTGTTGTTGTTGTTGTTGTCATGTGATTCACAGAAGAAATTTTTCATTAGCCAGAAAATTGAATGGTGTATGGCACATGATCATCATTACCATCATCATCATTATTTAGAAAAGAAAGGTAGTCGTCGTCGTCGTATTCATTCGTCATCAACATTCAATCATTCCATTCAACCACACATTTTGGACAAATTGGTGGATCATAATGATGCAAATGATGATGATGTAGAAAAAATTTTCATTGATAATGATGATTCGTTATTGTCGGCGTTTTTTTTCTCTCTACATCTATATACAATAGCTTTGAAAGAGAAAATCCCTTTTTTTTTAATTGTTCGAAGGTCACAAAATGATGATTGCAATGTTTTTGTTTTTGGTTTGATGATAAAACATGTGATAAACAAAACAAAAAAAAAATATCCACAGTGTTTCGTGCCATTGATCGATAGATGTCACTATTAAAAATTCCTTCGAGTATCAATATTTTTTTTCCGATTCAACAACTTTCAATCTTAATTAGATTTCGGATTCTTTAGATTCGCCGATTTTTTCGTCATTCTTCGCAGCCATTATCATCATCTGTAGATAAAGATCAATCTCTTCAACAGTTGTACGGATACGAATCTGTTGATCCATCATAATATCCACTAATTTTTTCCAATCATTCATCATTAATTTCATACAATCCAAATATAGTTGTTTATGATTTGGACACATTTGTATTGCACGATAAAGAATGGCTGAATTAAATTTAAAATCATTACATTGATTATGTCGAAGTTCATATTCCTTGAATGTTTAAATCAAATTTAAAAAAAATTATAAATATGAAGGAAAATAAGAATTCGACTAACCTCAAATCGTATAAATAATCGCCAAATAATTGGACAATGTGCCAATGAACGTCCTAAAATCCAATCAATCGATCCATTATGATTATGATGATCACTGTCATTATCATTATAATTCAATGCACGTTCAAATAGATTACGTATTCGATTGATTAATCCATTTCGATAATCATAACCCGATTCATCATCTATAAATACAACAAAAAACAATGAATAAATTAAAAATGTTTAAAACTTTGATTTGAAAAAAAATTCAATAATTTTCATAATCTTATACAGAAAATTTAGCTAAATTCAAATAATCTTTCAGATTGCTATCTAAATTTGGAATAAACTACTGTTATTGATTAATAGAATTATCGATATTTTAGGTAAAAACTGTAAACAAAAACTATTTACATAAACTAGTTGTTGGCCTATTCGCTCCTTGTAAAAGGTCCATGTGTGTCTTTGTGCTGAGACCACAAAGTAAGGAAAATAATCGGACTCGATTGATACTCGGGTACCAGATCGAGAATTTTTGCATGGGACCAGTGATTAATGATTTGTTTTTCGAATCATTAATCAAACTTGATGGTAATTCGGTGCTTTCGATGATGACGAATATCGGTTAGTTCAAATGAAAAGAATTGGAACTACTTTTTTCCTATTCTAGAAGTTTGAATAAACTGATGTTCTAGTCATTGGAAGATGGATCCATCAAGTTTATGGTTCTCAAAAAAAAAATTTGAAAAAAAGAAAACTATTAATATAAATACCTGCTACGGCTGTAACTTTATCTAGAATCAAAAATTCCGAATGTAATGTTGCCATGAAAATGTTGTACATTGATTCAATCGTATGGCCATAATCATCATCACCAACATCGATTTTGTTAAGATATTTTTTCATCAGATAATTCTGTAATTGTCCAGCTTGATTGGCAACATAATCATGAAAAAATTTTCGACTTTTTGTCATCACAGTAAATCGTTGTTCTAATCGAGCTAAAATGGCTAAAAATAATGAATCATCGGGAAATATTTGAACAGCACGATCCACAATCGAACGTATATGACGAATAGTTATTTGATTACGATTGATAATATGATCACGTAATAATAATTGCAGGTAAATGATGAAAAAACTTCGTTCTAAATTTTTTTTCGATATCAAATAATATGGCTGATGATCAAATTCAATTATTATATCTGGTTGTAATTGTTGTTCAATAAATTGTTGATATGATTGTTGACGGCCACTAAGATATAGTAAAAATATCATCACCTGAACATGTTCCAATTGTTTTGGTTGATCATAACCAATCCATTTTGATTGAATCATTTGAATTGTTTTCAATATCAGTGCAGGATTATTATTATTTCGTTGTTGTTGTTCGTCTTGAATCGTTGTTGATGATGTATTATCATCATTATTTATCACAGTCAATAATGTATTCAATGCAATTTGTTCCAAATGATTTACATTAAAATCATGTGATTTATTTGCTGAACGTGGTAATAAATTGATTGAAGATATTAATGATGATGATGATGATCCACCAGATGTTGTTAAAAATTGATCCAAAATCGAATCCAAATTCAATAACATTCGAACAAAACTTAATGCTAATCGTAAACGATTTTGCGCATATGTCGATGGAATTAATTTCAATGTTGTTGAATAGATTTTAATTGCTTCATTAATATCCCATTCGAACATAAATTGACCATAAATTTGATAAAAATGTAAACCATTTTTTAAATTATTTGAATATTTTTTTAAAATTTCTTTCAAAAATTTCTTAAACATTATTAATGTTATTTGTTTTTGTTCAAATAATTGTCGTTTGAATTGTATCCAAAGTAATGTTAATTGAATTTGTTGTTGTTCATCACGGAATTGATTGATAAGTTTTTCAAATAAATTATCTACAAATGTTTGATATGATTGATTAGAAAATTGTTCATATTCATTCATAATATCATTACATAATGGTAAACAATAATAATTATTATCAAGTTCAAAACGTTTCAATATAAATAATTCGGAATAATTTCCAAAACGATTGCTATCAAATTTACGAAAATTTTCAAACAATTTTGTTTCCATTGAATATTGTTTATCTACTGGACGAATTAGTGAAAATTCCATTTCAAAACGACTAGTTGAATATGCAGAATCTAATGCATTCGTTATGAACGATATGGAAAGAAATCGTAGAAATTTTAATGATAATTCAAATTTTGATTCAAGATTTCGTAATCGATATAAAAATGGTCGAAGATCTTCATCACATTGAACAATTCGTTCAGGATCTTCAATATCATCGATCGAATGATTTGCAGGCAACATTTGAATATTGGTTGGTAGCCAATGTAATCGGTTACGCATTCGTTCCATATGTAACCAACATAATGATTTTAAACGATCATCATTCGATAATGATTGTTTCAATTTTGAAATAATTCGATCTTCACATTCATTCATTAATTTTTCGGTACCAAATTTTTCCAAATTTCTTTCATCTCTAATTTGAATTTTATCGATAAATTTTTTCATTACATTTTTTTGAAATTGTTGCCAACCAGTTGCCGAATATTCACCGATACGTGGTACACCAGAATCCCAGAATTGTTCGAATAATATTATCCAATCATCAATCGATACATTGAAATCTAATTCATCCGGTGTAAACAAATTAAATTCAATCAATGCCTGATATATTCCTATAGCTTTTTCTTGTTGATCAATTGAACGAAGAAATTCGGCCATAAATTCTGTAATATTTATTAAAATTGTTTCAAGATCATTCAATTCAATTTGATGTGAACGAAATTGTCCTTCCAATTGTTTACGACTTAATGCACTGAATGCTTGTTTAAATATTTTTTTCGTACGATTAAATTTAAAATTCATCATTCGTTCCGATCGTAATGAATGATAAAGCCATTCAAACCATGTTTCAGGTGCATTTGGAAATAAAAAACAAAGATTTTTCCATTCATCATCTATTTGATGACAATCTTTTTGTAATTCATCCGAATATTGACTTAATAATTTTAATCGTAATAGATTTAATTTCATTGAACGACGATTATGTTCTAAAGCTTTTGTACAGATATCGAATTTTCTTTCGATACAAAATTTTCGTTTTCGATGATTCATTGATGTTTTTTCATTATCCATTGATGAAGTTCGCGTATCAGGGTTATTATCATTAACATTTGTATCCTGAAATGAATGTATACCATGAAAATAGGCAAGATCTTGAAAATGTATAAAATCAATCCATTTATCAACACTTGTTCGATCTTCATAAAGATTATGATTGAAAATTCTGGTCATTTCCATTAATAATTGCTGAATGGATGGTGCTTGTTGTGGACCTTGTTGTTGTTGTTGACGAATTTGTTCCACATCCTTTAATGATTCGAATTGAATTTTTGGCTGTTCCATATTGGATGTTTCCGTTTTTGTCAATAAATCATCGATTTCGATCAAACGAATATAATCGATATTTGTCTGATTGAAAAGATTATCTTTAGGATAAATAAAGTTACCGTCATTAATGGATTTTATCTTCTTTTTTCCTACAAAATATCTTTGAATTTTTTTCTTCTTTTTTTCTCTTTCATCATCAACAAATTCACCTTGTTGACGACCATACAAACGTATCACATTTTTTGATTGATATCTAGGAACATAACGTTCATAAAGTTTATCAAATGCAAGATTATTTCGATCACCATTACGATCAAAACGAAATGCATCTTCTGAACGTAAATTCGGTATATCTTCTAAGAAATTTGCTTTCGATCCTTTTGGTAGATATGATAGATAACTATTGTCATATGTTTGTTGATCTCCTTCGGATTCTTTCTTCCTTTTCTTTTTCTTCTCATGTCGTCGATGTTTATGTTTGTTTTTTTTCTTCGAATGTTTTCGACGACGATCACGATGTTCACCGATAAATTCAATGCTCGAATTTGAATCATTGTCGTCACTGCTCAAATCTATTATATTATCGTTTGATGATTTCATCGGATCATCATCATCGTTATCATTATCGATGAGGTCGATGTTTTGGGGAAAACTTGAACATTGTGGCAATGTTTTTGGAATAACCGATGATGTTGCTGATGATGATGATGAAACACTTGGAAATAAAGTGACAACCGGCGCTGGACAATCATCACCATCGACATTATCAATCGATGATGACATTGATGGAAAAAGACATGAATCAGATTTATTCTTATCAGTTGTCATATTATCGAATTTTACATTATTTAATTTACAAAATTAAACAAAATTAAAGAAAAAAAACGTGTAAATTCGAAGCAAAAAAAAAACAAAATATAAATACAAAATCGTAACTAATGCCATCTATATGTCATTATTAAAATTATTAATGTCGTTTTTTTCCTCGATTTCTCGATCGAAATGATTGAAATTTTTTACGTTTTTTATTACGGTAATCATCATCATCATCATCAACTTCAACATCATCATTATCATCCTTATGATCGATTTGTTTATTAGTTTCCAATTTTGGATTCCAAACACTGATCAAAATACGTTCACGTGTTGGTGAACCATCATTGGTTACTATTCGTCGTTTTTTCACTGAAGACATTGATGACGATGATCGGGATGATAATCGATCTGGAGATGATGAAATTCGGCCAATTGGAATTTCGCAACTTTTTGATCGATATTTTGATTTGAAAAATTCATTACGTTCTGATAATTTTGGTTTTTGTTCCTGTAGCTGTTGTTGTTGTTGTTGTTGTTGCTGTAACTGTTGTTGTCGAAAATGGAATTGTTGCCATTCACTTTGTAAACGCATTTCATCCATTAATGAAAAATATTGTAAAAACATTTGATAATAATGATAAAAATGTAACTGCCATAAATCAGGTTTTGGTATCGAATTCAAATTCATTCCTTCATTGAAATTGGATGGATCCATTTTTTTCAACAAAAAAAAAATTATGCAACATACAACCGTCGTTTTGTTTTGTTTGTTTCACACAGCATACATATAACGGAAAAGCATTTTGGATTCAATGAAAACACATATATGTCGTTCATAGACAATGTAACCGGAAATTTTTTTTAAACAATTTTGTTTTGGTTTTTTATTTTTGGGATAACAATTTGTGAAAAAAAAAATTTTTTATGATAAATTACAAACAGTAATTGTATGTGTCCAAAGATTCTTTGCTAAACGATCATCCATAACACGTTCACTTGGTATCGTATGACGACCATTTCGATAATAATAACCACTGTGACGAGCAATTTTTTTATCAATAACACATTGAACAATTCGTTGAGCAGCTTTTAAATTCGAACGAAATCCAATTAACCAACCAAATATGGATAAAATTTTTCTACAAATTGGATATAAATTTTGATAATGTGATCTTGTCATTGAAAATCCAGGATCAACATTATAAATATGAATTTGTGATTGTTTCCATTGTCGAGCCATTTCACGACCAACCAACATTAATGCTAATCTACTTTGACAATAAGCACGAAATGGTGTATAATTATTGGATTTATCCAGATTCAAATCAGCTAGATGAATTTTACCATCTATATATGTCAACGATAAATTGAAAAAATGTAAATCAATCAAATAAAACACTCAATTTGAAATATAAATAAGAGACAAAAAACATACATCGATGTAAAATTGAAGTTACATTAATAACTTTACCAATCGTTTCATATTGTTTAGCTGTTTGTTTCATACGTTCATTGAGCAATTGAATAAGTAAAAATGGTCCATAATAATTAATAGCCATATGAAGTTCAAAACCATCAATCGATTTGGTTGGTTCAATACCAGGTATGAATGCAACACTTGCACAATTAATTAAACAATCTATTCTTTTTTCTAGTTGTAATATTTCATTTACACAAATCCGTATCGATGATTGCGATGATAGATCAATATGATGTATAGATAATTCGGCAATTGGATTTTCAGCTAAAATATCACCAACAATTCGTCGAGCTTTATCCATATCACGACAAAGTAAAATGATTCTGGCACCCATATTGGCCAATATTTTTGTTACTATTGCACCGATACCTTCATTCGAACCTGTTATGACAATAGTTTTTCCATTTAAATCTTCTTCATTATCATCACTTATAGCCATCATTTTCTTCAATAACAATTTTCTTACAACATTTACATAATATAATATTATCATTGAAATGATTATCAATATCATTAATAAACTAATGAATAAAATATTCGATAAATCAATGGATAAATCCGGAAAATCATTAAAAATATCCATTGTTTGATGATAATTTGATTCATGGTGATCATCAATGTCATATGTTTTGGTTGAATACAGATCATCATCATTATCCGACAATGGAAATGTATTTGGTGTAAATGTTTCGAACGTTAAAGATGATGATGATAATGATAATGGAGCCATTCGTATAAAACGTTTTAGATAAGAAAAATCGAACACTTAAAATGTCAATCGAATGATCAATGATCCAATGGCCAAGTTGTCAAATAATCGTTGTTGATGACCTCAAAAGAAAATTAAAATTTAAAATCGGTTAACACAAAATTGATATTTCAATCGACAATGACACCAGTCCAATCATGTCCAATGTTTAAAATTGAAAAAAAAGATGACCAGCCGCATCTTTTTTTTTGATAGAAAGAACAAAATACGTGTGTGTGTTACAACGATTGATTCGATACATCTTTCTCTTTCTTTTTCAATTTTTTTTCTGGTGGTAAAACACCTTTTTTTTCTCAATCCAAAAACTACTGCAGGTTAGATAACCAAATTATTATTCATGTCCAATAACGAAAACAAAAAGCAAAAAATGAAAATTTAAAAATAGCCACAATCCTGGCGCCCTTGCTTGTTCCATTAATATTTTTTTTTTTTTTGGATAATTTCAATTTTGCTGACGACTATAAGGTTTGTTAATCTTTTTTCTTTTTTTCTCGTTTACCCTGATTGACTGACTTGATTTTCTTCTTGTAGCAAAAAAAAGAAAAGATTATCATTATCGAAAAACAAATCGAATGGTCATCATCATCTATATTAACAGGTCATTTCCAACCAAAAAAAAAAAAAACTATTTCAACCATCATCACTAGCTACTTATGGATGTTCATAACCTCAATTGGATATGATCATCATTGAAAAATTGAAAAAAAAACTAAAATAATTAGGACGCAAAAGGAAAAACCTTTCGTTTTCCTTTTTCAAAAAATATTCAATAAGAAGAAAATTTGAATTTTTCATTTTTACATGTGATGTGTGATGTGTTTAATGAACATTTTTGTTTTGTTTCTTTCATCACAAACCGAATAACCTGAAAAAAAACATAATAATTCTTTCCTTTCATATTTGTGATCCGAAACAAACAAAACAAAACGAACCGAATCGAAACGAATGAAAAACTAATCCTTTATTTCATTTCATTCCAGATTTTTCCCAATCAATTTGATTCTTTGCTATTTCTTGCAAGTTAATAATCCAGGTTCGTTTTGTTTTCTCGCACACACACACGACTCGCAGAATAATTGGAATCGAAAAAAAAGGATTTTTTTTTGTCGAGAATTTTTTTTTCAAATTTAAATCTTTCCAATTCAACAATCAAACAGTAAGTATTTCTACTTTCTAAGTCAGTGATTCTCAACCTTTTTGTTGTCGCGGCACAATTTTAGAATTTTTGAATATATAACAGTTGCATTTTCAGAATTTCGCGGCACACTAAAGTGCCGCGGCACACTGGTTGAGAATCACTGTTCTAAGTTCTTGTTCAATGTGAGGGTTCAAGGTCTTTACCATTTCAAACTCCGCCTGAAATCATGATGGTCCTAACCATGCATGGAAAACCATTCTTGATTTTTTTTTGTCGTTGTTGTTGTTGCCTGATAAAATGATCAACTTGACCTAACAATGGACATTAACAACAACAACCACGACAACAACAGTAACATAGTGGTCAAACAACATATCAAAGTGGAATGCGGACTTTGAACAACTTTGGATTGGCCTTTGGTGTGTATCCAACTCGACGGAGATATTATCATTGTATCATCAATCATTCCATTTGAATGATCGGTAGAGGGAGCTACAAGATGATGGAAAAAAATTATTTTGAGCTCCTCCCAGTATCAATAAAGTGGAAGAATAGCATTGTGTTTGCGTGTGTGGTGTGAGCAACCTCCGGACATTGCTTCTTCTTTTTCTTTGATTTATCGAATCCTCATCATTTTTTTTTTTGTTTTCTTGGGCTGAGTAAAATTGACTTGTTTTGATTCTGTCAAGTTGATTTTTTTTTTTTGCTTTGTTTTTTTGGATTCTTGAATTTCTTTTTCAATTATTCTTGGTATATTTCAATTGAAATTCTGTGTATGTGTTTGTGTGCCAAATTGAATTGAAACAAAAACAAAGTTGTTCCATTTATTCATGATAAATATTTCGTAAGAAATAAAATCATGTCCTATCAACAACCAAATCGTGGACAACCGGTTCCATCGAATCGTGTTGTTGGTGGTAATACAACAATGAAAATGACAAATGGTTCATCACAACCACCACCAACATCATCAACAACAAATCAATCACAACAACCGGGACAAACAGCTATGAATGGACAACCAAATGGTCAAATGGTAATGAATGATCAACAAAAACAACAATGTTGGTCAAATCATGGTGGTTATCTTGGTGTTGATTCTGGTTTTAATTCTTGTGGACAATCAAATCCAATGACACCATCAATGTCGGTTACCGAAGAAGATATGAATGATCCAAATAATATGGGTTTTGATTGGGATCAAACATTTGGTGAAGCATTTGGTGATGAACAAGTTGTTGATGAATTAAATCAAACAAGATCACAACGTGTACGTGCCGCTATGTTTCCGGAAACAATGGATGAAGGTATGGAAATACCATCAACACAATTTGATCCAAATCAAGCTACTAGTGTTCAACGTTTAGCTGAACCATCACAGATGCTCAAACATGCTGTTGTTAATTTAATCAATTATCAAGATGATGCTGATCTAGCAACACGTGCCATACCTGAATTGATTAAATTATTAAATGATGAAGATCAGGTTGTTGTTGGTCAAGCAGCAATGATGGTACATCAGCTATCAAAAAAAGAAGCATCACGTCATGCTATTATGAATTCACCACAAATGGTCGATGCATTGATACGTGTTATGTCACAAAGTAATGATGTTGATACAACAAAAAGTGCCGCAGCTGTTTTGCATTTGTTATCACAACATCGACAAGGTCTGGTTACTATATTCAAATCGGGTGGTATTGTTGCATTGGTTAAATTATTATCTTCACCGGTCGAATCGGTATTGTTTTATGCTATAACAACATTGCACAATCTTTTACTTCATCAAGAAGGATCCAAAATTGCGGTTAGAATGGCTGGTGGTTTACAAAAAATGGTAGCCCTTTTACGACGAGATAATTTCAAATTTTTGGCCATCGTAACCGATTGTTTACAAATATTAGCCTACGGTAATCAGGAAGGAAAATTAATAATATTGGCAAGTGGTGGTCCAGCACAATTAGTACGAATAATGAAAACCTATCAATATGAAAAATTATTGTGGACCACATCACGTGTGTTGAAAGTTTTGTCCGTTTGTTCAAGCAATAAACCGGCCATCGTACAGAATGATGGTATGCAAGCATTGGCCATGCATTTGACAAGTCCAAGTCAACGTCTTGTACTAAATTGTTTATGGACATTACGTAATCTTTCGGATGCTGCCACTAAATGTGAAAATCTTACAGAATTGTTGCACGTAAGTAGAAATTCTTGTTTTTTTTCTATACAAATTGTAAACATTTTTTGTTTTTTTTAGAATCTGGTTCAATTATTGAATACAAATGATATCAATATTGTTACATGTGCCGCTGGTATTCTTTCGAATCTAACCTGTAATAATCAAGCAAACAAAACGATTGTTTGTCAGGTTGGTGGCATCGAAGCATTAGTTCGTACAATCATACAGGCTGGTAATCATGAAGAAATTACCGAACCAGCTGTCTGTTCATTACGTCATCTAACTAGCCGTCATGCTGAATCTGAAATGGCACAAAATTCTGTACGATTACAGTATGGATTACCTGTCATTGTTAATCTTTTGAATCATCCTAGCCGTTGGCCATTGATTAAAGCGGTTATTGGTTTGATTCGAAATCTAGCATTATGTCCAGCAAATCATGCACCACTCAGAGAAAATAATACAATACAACGTTTAGTACAATTATTGAATAAAGCTTATCAGGAAACAAGACAACGTAATAGTATGGCATCGAATGGTAGCCAAAATATGACTGCATTAACTGATGGTGTACGAATGGAAGAAATTGTTGAAGGCACTGTTGGTGCATTACATACATTGGCCAAAGATCCACATAATCGAGCCGTTATTCGTAGCCTAAATGTTATATCAACATTTGTTCGTATACTTTATAGTGATGTGGAAAATATTCAACGTGTTGCTGTTGGTGTTCTTTGTGAATTGGCTACCGACAAAGAAGGTATTATTATAATAATCATCCATAATTTTCTATATATTTTTACAATGATATTGATGATTGAATTTAGGTGCTGATATGATTGAAGCTGAAGGTGCTACATCACCATTGACACATTTATTACAATCACCAAACGAAGGTATCGCCACTTATGCTGCAGCAGTTTTATTCAAAATGTCGGGAGAAAAATCACCGGATTATAAAAAACGATTATCAATGGAATTGACCAATACATTGTATCGAGATGATACATCAAATTGGGGACCAGGTGGACCAGATATGGTCGATATGAACTTGTTACCTGATGATACGTTCCAAGAACCATTGTATCATCCAGGACAACAGGGACCGCCAAGTGTTCATTCAGCTCATTCACGTCCATTTCATCAACAACCCTATGAATCTCAGGTAAACAAATGGAAAAGTGTTACAATTGAATCAATATTAATAATGAATAAATATTGTTTAGATGTTAGATCCTATGGTAAATCATGGAGGATATGGACATACGAGAATGTCAGGAATGGATATGGATCCAAATGATATGGGCTATGATCGAATGGATACAAGTAATGGACCACCACCACCACAACAGCCACAACAACAATCATCAATGCAGCCAATACATCCGCAACAACAACAACAA